TCAGGTAAGCACTGCGCTGCTGACCACCGGGTCAGGGATTCAAACCCACCAGCTGCTCAAGGGCAAGAGGCTCTGCTCCAGAAAAGCTGTTGCCTCAGGACCTCAGACAGGCCTGCTCTGAGTGAAAAACTGTGTGTGCGTGTAATGCACCCTGCCAAGGGCCCTACAGTAAGTTGTACATTGGGCTAACTGCCAAGTCAGTTGTTCAAATCCACCAGTTGCTCAAGACCAAGATAAGGCCATCAGCTCCCATAGAATTCAGGTCTTGGAACCCCCAGCAGCAGCTCCACTGTGTCCTTCAGGGCTACCCGAGTGGAGACTTGCTGGCAGTGGGCACGTGCCCTGCAGTTGCCCTTACTGCCCACTTACATGACCCTGTGGTCTGAGTGGTTTGGGCACTAGCTGCTGCTTCCCGTTGCCGGTGTTTTCAGTTGCTGACGTTGCCATTTCTGGCTTTAGCTACAAGCTTGTGGCTGGTCTTCGGGAACTTATAACAATAACTTACTGTTATAAGGATTGCATGAGGCAGTAACCAAAAAAAAAAAGGGAAAAAAATTAAGGATTCTGCTCAGTTGCTAATTATGTTGTAACTGATGTAATTCCACATAGGAAAACTTTACAAAATGTTTAGTGTTCTTATCATCTAAGAATTATTACAGATAATTAGTTCACAGCTAGGTTGATCACATATTCTATGATTAAAATAGAGGGCAAACCCCATGACTAAGGATTCTGTATGGTTTGCTACCAGAGAAGTCCAATTGTGTGTGTGGTGGGGGACAGTGACCCCACGTGTTATCCCACTGGGTGCCACCAACTCGTGACACCACTGTGCTAACCTAAAAGGCCAGGATTTCCAAACCCACCCCATGTACCCCGGAAGGAAGGCCGGGCGACCTACTTCTATCGAGTGCGCAGCTTAGGAAACCACAGTCCCATTGCACACGCGGGGATGCCGTGGGTGCCCCTTAACTCCAAGGCAAAAGGTTTGGTCTCGGTTTTGAAGCACAGAAAGCTGTAAGCGTGTAGACCACCAAGCCTCTCCCATCCCAGTGCGTAGGCACTGGGCGCTTTTGCAAGAGACCTGAGGGTCTGGAAGCCCCCAGCCCAGGAGCTGCCTGCATTGACTGGGGCTGTCCTCCCTCCAGTCACATCCGCTGAGATGGCAGTGATGGGGCAGCTGGCTAACTGCCCACCTCTTTCTTCTTCCACTACTACAGACCCCTCACTGACCCGCTGTAGGACCTGAGGCCAAGGTCCAGGGACTCCCGAAGATCCTCTCTCCAGTCCAGCCCCCCTCCCCAGCTCCCACTTCCTTAAAATGGTTTTGTCTACCTACCACTACCACCCCCCTGCTGCGACCCAGGCCTTTCCTGAGCCCGTGGACCCGAGGCTGACGTGGGGCCTCACTGACCACTGAAACAGATTATAACGGTGCCAGGCCAGTCAGGAAGCCTGCCCCGGGCTTTTTACAGGCAGAATACCAGCTGTCCCTCCAGAGGCCTCAGCCACAGGGTCAGTCCCATGTTAGGGCCTCTGTTCCTCCAGGGTTGTGTGGGAGTCACTGGGGGAGGGATTTCTTCTCACTTCCATGTTACCATGGCACAGTTCTCAGGGAAGTGGCTGTCCACGCTCCCTCCGCCTCAGCCCTGTCTGCTCTAATAGGCTACCATTATCGGCCCTGTCTGCGCTAATAGGCTACCATTACTGAGACTGGTCTCTCAGCCCAGCTGGTGCAGCAGGCTAAGCATTTGGCTGAAAATCCAGACTGGCAGCTCAAACCCCTCGCCACTCCTCAGGAGGAAGATAAGGCTGCCAGCCTTGGAAACCCTGCAGGGCAGTTCTGCTCTGGCCAACAGCCGGGCTGATTCTGGCGTTTTCCTCAGCCAATTAATTCATCATGCATCTGCCTCCAATGCCTTTTCCTTATAATGGCTTCACTCACCAACCCTGGCGCCTCCTGTTCGGAAGCCTTCAGAAGACCTCGACTGCCTGGGATGAAGGAAACGAAGGGCGAAGGGGCTGAGACCCTCCACGCCTGCTGCAACTCCATGCCTATGACGTGCTTGGGAACACCGTCAGAGGGAGGGTCCCCAGCACTTCCTCTCCTGGTGTTCATGTTCTGGGACCCCCAGTTCTAGTCCTTCTCACCTCTAGTTCATAGCTCGTTACGAGCACATTCAATCGTCTTGTTGGGGCTGTGGAAGGGCCTCCGTTAGGCCTCACACCATTTGTCCACAGAAGCCCAGTCGTGGCTGTCTGAGGACAAGGGGTTCTGCTGCTGGTTTGGGTCCCCAGGCTGCCGTCAAACCACACTGGCCTTTAACCCTAAGCTCTTACAGAGGGATGGGCAGGAGGGCCTGGCTGGGGAAGGGCACTCCCGAGGCCCTCCCCACTGTCTTGAAGTTACTGAACTGACCTAGTCCTCCCCTATCTCTGAGAAACGTGAGGCCCCGGGGCAAGGGCTTCTTCCAGGATCTGAGGTGAGACAGAACGCCCGGCCTGTGCAGCTGGCTGTCACTGAGTAGGGAATCCTCTCGGCCCCAGCTGGCCTCTTCCTTGAGGCGTTTAGGTACCTGGCCACCCCTCACCCTCCAACCAGGTGACAGACAGCAAGTCTAACTCAGATGTGCACTCCGGAGTCTGTGAACCTGACGCAGCTGGCCCCCACCAGGGCTCCTTGCTCTCCACCCTGCAAGCTTACTGCCACCTGGGACCACAGCAGTTCCAAACCACCCACTGCTCTTCCAGAGGGAGGTTATTTCACCCTGCAAGACTTCCTCTAAGTTTGAATCAATTTGCGGGCAGTGGCGGGACCATTATTGCTTGCCAGAGACAGAGGGGCCCAACACCAAGTCTCTTATTTGTGTAGCTCTCTGGACTTAACTTTTAACACTCAGCTTTATCAGACTTCTACAATGGATCCTGTTGTCTAAGTAAACATAGATGTCATTTCAAGATTCCATGATTCCCAGCTCAAGGGGATTAAAAGAATCATTTTATATATAGTGCTAACTACATACTTGCTCATTCTACACACACACACACTGAACACACACCCATAAACGTACTCAATCATAACAAGGAGAGAGGGGCTACTATCCTGTTTCTTGAAGTCCAAATCCAGATAGAGCCCGAGGGGGTGGAGGGGATCAGACCGGTGTTACTGGTCACTGGCTCCCAACAGCTTTGATACAGATGTCTGAGAAGCAATGGGCTTTTGTGATTAAAGCTATTTCTCAAAGAGCAGGGGAAGCTGCCAACGACCTCCCCCTGAACATGGGTGAGTGTTACAGCCTCTGGACAGAGGGAAACTACCCGGCAAATGCAATTGTCCACATCAAATGCTACTCCGGCAAACAGAAACCCAGACAGAAGACTACTGCCACTGTGACTCAGGATGACACACAGGCCAGAGAGGGCTGCCCTGTGTGTGTCCAAGACGGGCACTCTTCACACAAGCAGAAAGCCTTGTCTTTCCCCTGTGGAGTGGCTGGTGTTTTCAATCTGCTGACCTCTGGGCTAGTAGCCTACGTGAAACCACTCTGCACCAGGATCCCTGTGTAGCAGTTGCTACAACGATGAACAGTCATCGTCTTGACCCTAGAGCCATAGCTTCTATGGCAGGAAAGTATTGTTATATAATTTGTAGCAGGTCAATCAGCCAATATCTAAAGGCTGGGCTCTTTAGATTTCTAAATCTAAACTGTTATCCAGAAACACCCTTTGTGCCTTCACTCTGCTTTTTAACAGGGTCAAGGGAACAAAAAAATGCTTGTTTGCAAATAAACATTTGAAGAATATAGTAACAGCTGATCTGGGCCAGGGCATCAAAACAAAGTGTTGATTGTGGAAATGGACAATGCACACATCTCTGGGAGCAAGAACTCCCGAGGGCAGAGAATGTGCAGCCATGCGCATGCGGGGTTATTTCCACCAGCTCAGAGGCTCCGCCTTGAAGCCCTGTGGACTGGTGGGAGGTGTCCAGGGTCGCGGGGGTCCTGAACAGAAACAAGTCGCTGCCACCAGCAGCACTGTGCCGTTTTATTAACCATTCAAGTACAGTAGCATCTGGTAAAATCGGGACAGAACTGGGATTTAAAAGCAAACAGAGATTCAGCATCTAACAGTTTTGAGAGAAGCCACTACACACTCTTTCACGAACATGTTTCCACGGGGCCAATACGGTACTAGCCATTCACCCAGCGCACTGTGTGCACTGAAGTAGAAAAGATGCAACAAGAAAAATAGCTACGTTAGAAACACTCCAACACTTTTAGAAAAAAGAGTAAAACACTTTTCGTTTCTCCCCTTTAGCCCCTAAAACAACATCCTATGGTCTGGATCTACCTATTTAAGTCCTACATTGGCTTCTGGAGTATTTGTCAGGAGGGAAATAATAACAATGATAATAAAATGACACTGGCCAGTACAGTCTTTGGATATTGAGGAGGGGAGGGGAGAAAGTCAGTTCTCAGAACAGCTAGTCGGCTTCAGTCTCATCAGCGAGGGGGTCTTTGGATTCCTTGTTCTTCCGCACTTCTTCCACGTGCTTGTCCTGCAAGAGAGCAACCGCTGCAGTCGGTCACACACAGAAGGCCATCATGGCGCGCCCTCCCCGAACAAGCCCCACAGTCCGGTCCGTGGATCTTAGAGAGCCCACGGGGAAGCTCTTCATCGGAGTTCAAAGACATCGCCTTCGAGCCCCTGGGTCACGTGTGGACCCATGTCAACTAACCATCCTACTACTACTGGTCTGCTGAGACACCCCCAGGTGTCATCACTAACGACCTCCCCCTCACACGGTGACCCCCCCCCGCCCCCCAGCACATCCAGGACGAGAGGATACCCCACCTTTTCTCGCAAGCGCTCCAGCTTGGCCGCCATTTGTGCTTCTCGGTTTTCTTTGTTGGCTTCCATTTTGTGGGTCAGCTTCTCCTCGGCCATCTTACTGAAGTTGTTGTTCTCCTCGATTGCTTTCTGCAGCACTTCCTTCTCATGCTCCCGCTTCTCAGCCAGCTGCTTCAGGACCTCCGCTTCATGGGACTGGGAGGAGAGAGTGCGGATGGAGCAGGCTCAGGTCTCGGAAAGGTACTTGGCATGAGTCAAAGTTACAACAGACGTTATTTGCTGGACGGCGGACGGGGGGGCGGGGTTGGAAAGAGGCAGAAAATAAAGCCCCTTCAAAGAATGCTTTGCTCAGGAAACCGGACTTATTCCCATCACAAAATAGGATGAAAATCATATTCTGGGCTAGTGTTTATATTTACTCTGGGAAAGTAAGTAAATAATATTTACTTTCCTGGGTAAATACCTATTTGTTCAGGGATCTCTTGCCCAGTAATTTCTGGGGAAAAAATATCCCTGCTATCAAGCTGCACTGAGTGATTGTCATGTAAGGATGGCGCTTTCTAGGGAAGAACTGGGCTTTGTTAACATCAAAGGCTACAAGAAAACAAGATCAATTCTGTATATGTATATGTGTGTGTATATATACATATATATATGTGCACATTTTCAACAGTCTCTAGACCGCCATCTAAGCAGCAGGGCTTGTTTCAAGAAATGCTTCCTCTGTGGAAGACGGGCCACCGTCTCAGCCCACTAGCACCGTTCCCACACGGTGCCCCCTTCAACAGGCAGACAGCGGGGCTGGTTACCAAACAGTCAGACGTGTATGGAAGACTAACTTCTGGGAGAATGCCGAGCGTCTGCTCCACTGCCACTGGGCTCAGTCAAATCTCGGGCCTGCTCAGAATCTTACTACACAACGTGCTCCAGGCAGACACGACTGAGGAAAGCATGGGCCAATGACAAGGCCAGGGCTGATTTCCTTAAAAAACTTCCCTGTGGCTGGCCCCTGGCTATGAGAATCCGAACTACCGGGACCAGCAGGCAGGAGATGATGCCAGTGCATGGTGGCGTCCCCACAGCCCACGGCGAGTCAGTGCTCACACAGGAAGCCCGGGGCACCGGTAGGCACATGGCACTTGTTGCAGGAGCTCGAAAAGGGGGAGAGATAGGGCTTTCCACTCCTGTGAAGAGTCAGTCTCGGAAGCTCACAGGGATAGTTCTGTCCTGTTCCACAGGGCCGCCAGCACATAGCAGTGGGTTGGGTTTGGTTTTGGTTTATGTATGCAGGTCTGGGTCACACAGGTAGTTAACAAGTTTGTTTGCCCGCTAACAAAATTGCATCTACCCAGAGGCCCCTTAGATCTACTTCTGGAAAACTAGTGACTAAGACTCCCCATGGAGCCCCAGAATCTACTGAGACACCCAGTGGGGCTGCCAAGAGTCTGGTCATCAACTGGTTACATAAGTGTATGGGGGGGTGGGTGGGCTGGGACATGGGGAACCTGAGAAGACACTGAAACATACCAGCTTTCAATTCAAATCTCACTAGTTTTCTGCCTAAATTTCATCTCTAAAATCTAATCCAACCGGAACCAGGCTTGCTGGAAAGGAGATCTAAATGATAATTTACGAAAGCTCTTAATCAGCAGAGCTATGAGAACCCGAAGGAAATATGGCCCAAATGTTCACAGTGGCTATTTCTAGAGAGTAAGATTCTAAATATTTATCATTTGCTATTTATAATTTTTTGTGTCCTCTAGTTTGTTCTTTTAAACAACATTAATATTTGGTTTTCTGGCATAGTTCTTCTTACAGATGCTTCAATAAGGAAAATCCTGCCAAAATACTAGCAAGGCAACATAACACATTACTAGCAGTTAAAGATGCTTTCTATTGTTCAGCTCAAAAAAACAAACAGAGACGGACAGGGGACAAGAGGAGGAGAGGACTGTGCCGCCAAGTTTCCCATTTTTCATACTGAAAGCCCAAGAAGCATAAGCTTTGGCTTAAGACAGGCCTGGGCTTGAATTTAGGCTCCCAAACTCTAGTTAACTGACTGAACTCTAGTTAACTGACTCAGCAATGTCTTCGCCTTCACTCCTGAGGAGCGTTTCTCATCTCCAAACTCCCATCTACCCTGCTGGGTCACTGTGTTGGAGGAGAAAAGTAACGGGGCTGGCACCTCATAGGAGCTCAATCAATCACGGCTGGCGTTGTCTTCCCGCACAGGCATGCATATGCGGCTTTCACAATTATTAATCATGATGAAAAATGCTAGTGGTCAAACCCATGGGCAGGTCCACCAGAGACAGGACGGCAGCTGCCAGCTTCCATAAAGGCTTAGCACCTCGGAAGCCCTCTGGGCCAGCTCTACTGGGTCCTATAGGACTGCTCTGAATTCGGTCTCTGTACACCCCCACCCACCCCAACCCCCCCATTTGGGACCTATAATTCCATGTTTCTCCTTATGGAAATAAAATGGATTTGCTACATTACATTCATAAACATCCTCTTTTCCCTGGATGGTGATGTTTACCTTGCGTCTTTCTTCTGCAGCTTCTAATTTCTTCTGAATTTCCTCCAGTGAAAGGTCCTTCTTCTTTGGAGGAGAAAGAGGGAATTCTGGGACGGCCTCTTTTGAACGGGGGCTGAGTATCAGCTCAAAGGCCTGGCCAGAGGCCCGCTTCTCCAGTTCTTTCACCTGGATATCTAGAGTTGAGCACAGTTACAACGCATTCAGAAACGCCGGCTGCTCCTATTGTGGTCACTGTTCTACACTCTTCTAGAAGCCAGATCAAAACAGTGGCACGATTGAGCACTGGTGGGGAGGTGGCATTTGCAGGCCAGAAGCGGTCTAAAGACCACCTCTCCAAGAGCAAGCTCAAGATTGCCAGGAGATTTCCATCATCCTGCGACACCAGTACTGGGCGGTCGCTTTCATAAACAAAAGCCATTCTCGGGAACAATCCCAGTTGTGCTTCAGAGAGACCAAGCCAAATAGTGCAATAATGAAAAATGACCACTTTTTCTCAATAAAGTCCAGCCATACATCTTGTTTTTTTAATTCTCCTATTCCTAAAATAGGCTTTTTGACAAGCCTAAAAAGGACAAGTTCCAAACCGAAGGCTTGAAAAACCTGAGCCATCTCATTAGTCTCAAACCCTACGCCCATCACGATTTCAGCTTTTCCAAATAGATTACCTACCAGAAGAAGCCATGGTGAACAGAAGACAAGAGACTGGCAGTGTACGCTACGCAATCCACTGGGAAGGAAAGCCCTGGAAACAATGTTCAAAAGCATGCAATCAATTTCTGTGCATTTCTATATGCCATCTATACAACCGGACCTCAAATCACATCCACATGCATCAATGTCAGAAAAACCACTACCGTGGAATTAAGTAAGACATCATTAACCAGGAGAGAAAAGGAAACTAACGTAGGAAAGACTAAAACAGGTTTGGAAATGGGGACGGAGGACAAGCAAGCTTACACATTACAAAACGGAGCAAAAAAAAACCAACAAAAACGCTTGGCTTTTAAAAATTGGATGAAGTTAAGCAGCAAGGTTGAAAACGCTTTTCCAATAAGCTGAAAAATAAGTAAATAAATAATCCCCCCCAACCCTTCAAATAGTGAGTGCTGGATTCAACTCCCAACCGTGAGACGGGGCCATCTTAACACCGTCTGCACCTCATTGTGCAAACGAAACACCCACCCCTGCTTTGTCTGCGACGGTGGGAAACAAAACGCCCAAGCTAATGTTAACCAATAATGTTCACCTCCTATTGTTTCTCGGGTTCAAGCTTTTAGCCCAACAGCAGGCAGGAATTAGCGTTAAAAACCTTTAGGTTTTATTTGTCGCCATTGAAAAACCCTACCCTCCACGTTAGCTTTTTTTTTTTAAAGGTCATGATTTTCATAGACTCTAGGCTACCGCCAAGGCGGCAAAAACATAGGTTCCCGCCGGCTGGACGCCACTCAGGCAGCGCAAGCATCA